TTTAATTAGAATCTTTCAGGATGGGGAAAACACGACTGCCGTGTGCAGGGAAAAAATGGAGCCCACTTCATGGACCACAGCGTCGATTGATCGAAAAAATTCGCCCACAGCTCATACGTGATGTCGAATGGGACAAAGGTGCGTCGTCTACGACCCAGATCATGACGAACATTTTACAATTTGCGGCACTCGATGCCGTTGCGGACTTGCTTACTCAACACATTTTAGCTGTTACGTTGTGAATCCCGGGAGTGGCGTCAATACCTTCAACTTCGCCAGAAACAAGCCGGTCACGCAGATCACGGCGTTGGCGGGTAATTTTCATAGACCGGGAGCATGAAACACATCGTGGCTGCAAGATTCGGATGTTCGGGAAGCGTGCGTTTCGTTGAAGGCAAAAATTTTCCCCCACAAAACTGCCATGTATATTTGGCAAAAATGGTATTTTTTTGCATGCGTTAGTTGCCGGCCTCAACGGTCAGGTCTTCGCTAGGGAATATAGGCTAGCGTTTGTATCAATCCGTGCGTGACAGTCTATCTGATCTCACCACCTCTGTTATTTATTTAGTGATGAAACCCGACAGCAGCAATGGTGTGTCGCACGCTATGGAGCACATTATCTCGACTGGAATGCCACAGCGGCGCAACCGCAACGGGAACGCAGCGCCTCGAAGCACCATGGATCGAATGCTCGGAGCGTATGCCTCTAGGGTTAAGCACATTTTTTTAGGCGCGGAGCTAGTACAATTGACGTCGAGACCAGTTACAACCACTTGGTCGCAGTCAACTGCAGCAAGGTGGTTGACCTGTTGGAAATAGGACGTACCCTTAAGATATCGCAAGCGCCAGGCGAAGCTTTCGCTTCCGCAGCACTACGCGCCGGCGTGAAAACGGAAATCTACACGGCAGAGAAATTGCCCGATGGAACGTACCGGGAATGAGGCGTGGTGCGTCTGGAGGCAATGATCGGAGGATTAAAAAGGTACTGCTACGCTCACAGGTTTTTTACCATTTCTTGCGGAATCTCGTTCTTTAGGAGGCTGGTGCCAGTAATTCACCCGCTAGAACCATAGCTTGGTCACCACAGCGGCACCGTCGAAACGCCGCGTTCTACAGTGTCGTACTTTGCCATCACTGCCGACGACGTAAGGCCAAGTTAAAGTTAGTCACAATAAGCCAAGTTAGGCTTATTGTGAGAACGGTCTCCAGAATTTTGACCTAACCGAAAAACCACTCCAAAGCCAAAAGCCCTAAAAGCAATATTTTTTTACGTTTTTTTTATTTTGTACGGCTAGAAACAGCCATCCCACAAAAATGAACAACGAGCGGTTTTGCAGAATTCCATTCTCTTTCGGAGGAGCTGGGTCTTGGATGGCTTTGCCGATACTGACATTGAAAAAACAAACCTTAAAGTGGCAAAGACCGGATAAAATCACACACGCGAACGCATTTATTTTAGGTAACGCAGCTAAGACGCCAGGTCGCCAACAGGGAATTTGAAATTGATGGATGCGTCGTAATAATGCAGGTTACGAAGCAGGTCAGACTCATTTTTACAGTCTTTACGGCCTATTCGAGTAGGCACTAGCAGTAGAAAAGTTTTAAAGTGCGCACGGTCAGCAGCAGTGGAATATGAGGGGTTTGTGGGGCCCCGCGCTGGGCAGCCGAATTCCCGGCGTCCACCAGGATTTCAGAAGGAGAGCGGAATGTACCTTTAACTCGGACAGCATTTTTAAGATGGGCTTGGTTTTCTGAAACTATTGCGCAGTGCTTTTCTAAACAATTTGGCGGTTTCTCGCCGTGAAATCAATCTCCCCATGAACTTAGTAGATAATTTTCCTGTGGCTTTTCGAGCTCTAATTGTAAGTCCAAACCACGAACCTGCGAATTTTGGCTTTCCAGTCTCTTTCCAGCGACAGCCTACCTTTTCAAACTTGAGCAAAAAATGCCGATCTTCAATCTTGAATCTTTCTTGAAAAATCTTGAATCTTGAGCATTAGGCCATAAGGTTGGTTTGGCGTGATGGGAAAGGCTCGAACGGAGAGGCCCCGCACCCCCCAAAAGCCTGATGCATTTGGTTCCAGCACAAAGTAGCAGAACTCATCCGCCAGGAAGGACGGCGACGCTAAAACTAATGCAAAGCTTCAAATCGGTCAAAACGTACTGGAACGAATAAAGGTGCGTTTCCTTAGCATCCAATGTTACCAATATTAATAGAAAAATTGCCTCTAAATTGTTTTTACTTCTACGTAGCGCGAAATTGCTAAAGTTTATGAAAAAGGAAAAAAGGGATCGACTCTTACACATTGTAAAAATGTTTGAGATTTGAGATTGGAATCGTAATATAACACTTGAGAGGCGGCGCTCAAATTGTCAAAAAACGCTAAAGCAATCAATATTGAGCTACTAGCCATTCCTGGGCTTATAGGAAAAAATTAGGTTCTCCCCCCCCCCCTCGTTAATGAGAAAGCACCCGTTTCTCAACAACTCATTTTAGAGAAACCTCTGCGTGTCGAGGGATCAAATGAAAGAAATGGGACATGCCACGTGTGCACGATGCTACTTCCCAAACAACTGGCAAAAAATCAATGGCACAGGTCGTTTTCTTTTTTGGAACCGCATCAATGGTTTTAGAAGAAGGACTGAGCATGGGCTGTGATGACGGGCTCTGCCGATACAATCGTGGGCTTCCTGCGGCTTGAGGGCATGGTAAATCCTACGATATATAAAAAATAGTGTTTGCGTGTGGGTCAAACTTTGTTTGCCACTTCGGTCAGCGCGTTCCAGTAGTATCTCGATAAAGGGATAAATTTTACGGCACGTATGATACCTCATTCGATGTGTAATGCGCCTGGGAAGAGTGCACACATATCAGATTTTGGAAAAACAGCGATTTTCGACGGTAAATTTAAGGGTTTGTCAAATTTTCGGGGACCTTCTTTGTTGGGAGAAATTGGCATCCGCCGGAAATTGCGAAAGCCTGAATAAAGGGACAGAGGGAAACCTTTTCATTTTTGTTGTTTTCGGGATTGAAGTTAGTTAATAACCTAGGGGTAGAAGACGGTCTTTTTCGAATGGGTGGGAAATTCGATTCGTGTAATTTTTATTTTTGTCAGTAGTTAAATGTCTCAACTAGAAGAAATATAGGGCGGATGAGACTTTAAAATATGAATTTCGGTCCAAAAACCTTCCTTAAAAACAAGTTCAAAGCTTCTCTTCAGAAATCACGTCTCCGACATCCGACAATGCTTAAAATTGGCCGAGCGAACTGTGCCACCGGATCCAACAAGACCCAATAAAACTGGACTAAATCTTCTCTCCGTGAATAAAATGGAAATACCGCTATGTCATTTGACACACACATCACTTGAATTTACACGCGCGGAACAGGTAAAGAGAGCTAAGAAGGGGCAACCGGAAAGACACACAGTTTTTGATTGGCGAAAGAGGGTCATTTACAAAATTCGAAGTGTGTAGGCGTTCCTATTGCTGCTTATGAGCGCTAAAAAATTTAAGAAACGCGTAAAGAGCTCGCTTTTGTAAGGTTGTTTTGAGTTAAGTTAAGATTTTGAGTGTCCAAGCTTATTTTGTGCAAATTTTTCGCTGATGCAACTGCAATTTTCAGAATCTGCCAAATGATCCGCCTAAGCACTTGAAAAGCTCTGCAGCTCAAAAAACGCCAAACCTGAAAAAACCTAAACCAAAACCTGGGTGATATACAGTGCGTATCAAAAGATAGAGCCACTTGGTTTCCCACACAGACACCCAGACACCCTTAACTTCGCGCCGCGGTATTTTCATGCCTAGTTAAGCATAGACATCTTGTAGCCCTTGGAAAGGCGCAACTTTCTGTGTAATCAAAATTTTTCTGTGATGGATATTCAGCTTTTTATGATAAAAACAAGTAAATAGGGCCAAAAAGATAGAGCCACGATTTGCATCCACTTTCCATGCGCTTTGAGCTTGCAAATTACATGGTAATTGTCATGCAAATCGTTTTTCTCATTCAAATCAGCGAGGGCCGCAGAAAAATCTGATTGAATCGTGGCAATAAAAAGGCACATTTTTTTTATTAAGCGTTCGCTTCATAGAAATGGTTAGAACGAGATAATATGGCGCAAAGTTGGCTTTTTTTGACCCACCCTGTATGGACCGCCCGACCAGGCGAAAACGTGATGGACCGACCTGCTCCAAAACGGCGGGGCCACCGATCGACGTATGCGTGGATGGATTAAAGCTACGGTATCCTGCCATATATACATAAATCTTGTTTTTGGGTACTAGCATCCGGCAATTTTGCTTGGAGGAATTGAGGAAAGTTAGCTCATGTGCCACCCCCGAAAACTGCAAAATTTTACAAAGTGACTTGTAGTTAGCGCATTTAAATAAAAACATGGTTTTGAAGACTGTTACATACTCGCCGTTTCAAAGGCTTTCGAATGGTGCAACTAACATTCCAATCCGATACTTTTGCTTCGAGTTAGAGGGGGAAGTGTTTTTTGTGGCAGAGTATGTTTTGCAAAAACATCATTTACAGGTTCAAATCGGCCCAGAGACCGCTGAGCATCTTCAGTGGCTGCTCCCGTTCAACGGCTCGGAGCTGTGCATCTACTGGTGTGGCCCGGTGACGGATCTCCAGCCGATTTGGAATTTCGTCGAGTACTCACTCCCGATGACGCCGACGCACGACCAACGAATTCAGGTACGAGCTCCAGACGATTTGCTATCATGATGTCGAGGTTTTTTGCATAGCATTCGGGAATTTTCCGGGAAAACTAGCTTATGTAGATTTCGACATTGCGAATTTCGACGTTATGAACTTTCGCCATCATGGAATTTCGACTTCGTAAAATCTTGACATTATCAAGTTCGACATTTTCAAAGAAACCCAAACGAGACCGATACATTCAAAGGTTTTTCGGCTGAGGGTAGTAAAAAACAGAACTTTGCCTTTCACTTGTGGTTTTTAGATCAATTTCTCGCCGCCCCTTCCCGTCGAGATGCTTCGCCCCGACATGTTCAATGGGTTCCGGATGGTTCAGGGCATTGAGCGAGACGAAATAGCCTTCACGCCCTCGGATGGGACTCAGCCGTTTGATCTGCACCTCACATGTCATGTCAGCTGCTCTGACCTGATGGTCAAGGGACGCTTCTGGTGGATATAAGCTTGGGCCGGGCCTAACAAGATCAACGTTAGCGTACGCTTAGGTCTCCAGAGAGAGGCTCCCTTATCTTCCATTTGCCAGATACGACGGCGCGCTCTGCCTCTTCATCACCTTCGACGCGTGCGCCTCCTCGTCTCTGCCATGAATCCAACGATTAATCGCCATCTCATAGAGAGAGAGAGAGAGAGAGAGAGAGAGAACGATAGAGCCCCGGTCTCATCGAATTTTATTCGGATTACGGTACGAAATTTATTCTCGTCCTCAATCAGTCGATTCAGTGGCATAAGAAACGCTACGATGGATGGCGGTTCAGTCGACGGCTTCACGGCTTCCACCGATACACGGTCTTTGCGCCAGCGACGGAGGCACAGGCAGGGATGTCGAGCGAGTTGAAGGAGCCCTTTGCCGATGAACTGCAGCTTGGTGAACAGGAAGGAAATGAGCCGGCCCGATTTCTTCAGGAAGCAGCGGAGGAGATGCACTGAAAAGAACTAATTAATCGGGTAGAGTAGTGGCAGTGCAACTACAGTAGCGATCAAAACGATGTCGGGTCAGCAGATCATGTGTCAATAGTGTCCAAAAAGCACCGCCCTCTAGTGGCGCGCATGCATGTCCGATGGTCACGATTTAGGTATCTATCGCAAGCCCTCGATAACACGAGCAGAAAAGGTTGCATTATCTTTTTTTATGAATTTTTGGTTGCAAATTTTGCTTCGAAAAACCATGAAAACTGTCGATTTACGCAAGATCAGCGTGCTAATTGCGAAATCCCCCTTGAACTACCTTTTTTTCGAAAAACGGCAAATATCCATCGGATGTTTTTTGAATTTTAGGAAATGAAAGCCACTTGTTCTCTCGCCTATTCGAGAGCTTTCGAACGGTGCAAAAATCGCCCGGATACTTTCTCCAAACCGCTAGAGGGCGATACTTTTGTCGACGCACAGTATTTTACTAAAAACGCAATTAAAACATTGTCTATTAACTTGCTGGGGATTTCTACTTACACAAAAAAGTTCGGCTCTCCTCGCCCCCGAAAATCGGAAAGAACCGAAATGTCAAATTTCAAGGCGGTTGGGCTAAAATATCAGGCGCAAAATGTTGACGAACCCTGCCATGCCGTTTTTGCAGAATACCGACATTAAAAATTTCGGCAACAAAATGCCGACACACGAAAATGCGGACATGGCTGTCAGCATTGCATTTCGAAACAAAACCTTCCGTCAAGTTTTTCAAGTCGGCAGTCTGGCAATTGTCATATTGAACATACATATAACGGTTTCGCTGGTTACCCCTAATTCCGACCAAAGAAAAATAATACCGAAGTACCGAAAAATACCGACATTTTCCACAATTCGGCGTTTATATTTATTTTAGCATCTAGAACATGGTCTGCATTGATATTCTGACATCAACAGAGATCGGAGCGGCTGTGGCCTGGTGTCCAACCTGGAAAAATTGGCCGACGTTTGCGCCGAATCCGCATTCTTCCACGCGGGTAGATCTTCGGATCTAAAAAATGCGGTTACCGAATCGGCGCAGATAACCGAGTATCCGAAAAACGGTTCGGGACTGTTAGCCTGGGGGGAGGGGGGGGGGGGGGTTTAGCGGGGGCAAACCAAATTTTTCCTTGTGATTCTCTACGGCCCTATAACCAAATATAAAACATTTTTATGGCATTTTATTAAGCTGTACAAAAAGTCTTGTCCGTTTTTTCGTTCGTGCCCTTTTTCAAGAAAAGCGTTGATGTTGGAGCTGAACCTGATAAGTCATTTTGAAGAGTGCGTTCCTAAATAGCGCATGCGTTTCTAAATGGTTTTTAACTAGTCCTGAGCATAAAAACTACCCACATTTTAATTAAAAAATTTAATTTTAGGTCGAAAAATCCTATAGAACCTTTAGGATTAGCGGGGGGAAGACCCAAAATGACTAAATTTTCGACTTTTTCAAACATTTTTCTAACTTTTTTGAAAGGTTTTTCTACATTAAATACAGTTAAAATTTACTAAAAACAATGTGAAAACACTTTATATTTGATTACTAGGTCAACCGGGAAAACCAGGAAAAAATTTGGTTCCCCCCCCCCCCCGCGGAAATACTTTGTCGTAAAGGTTACCGTTAAAAAATTACACAACAGGCATGCAACTTGTCAAAATTTGGCCCTCATCTGGAGAAGAGGTAATGCTTTATTTTTTAACTTTGATTTAGCTTCCCGACTAATTTCCAACACATTCATGATCGCTAGGGGCTGAAAACCCCGCCTTTCAATAAATTGGGAAAAGTCCGCATCCTGAAACTGACCAAATTTAGACAATTTACGTATCTGCTTTGTAATTTTTTTTCACGGCAATTTTTACGATACGTTCTGTCGAGAGTAACGAGCTGAACAAATCGCAAATATCATAACGCCACCAGGCAGCGTGTCTGCAGAGTTTTGAGCTAAACAAAAAAGCAACGCTTTTTGGTTTTCAATTGCAAGCCTTATAAAAATTTATCTAAATCTTCATCGACCAAATCAAAACCTTGAACCCTCTCCCCCTTCCCCGCTGTTAACACTCTAGAACCCGAAAAACTATCTCCTCCCGCCTCCGCAAGTCTAGAGAGGCGGCACGGGGTTCAGCTTCGTTTGCAACCGACCTTTTCCCCCTGCGCGTCGCATCGCTTCCGCCCGCACGAGTTGCCCCTCACGTTTCGCCAGCACCCGACGCACCTATAAAAAGATTGTTTTTAGCAAAATTTAAGCCTCTTTGAATCGGAAAAACTTTTGAAAAAGTTAGAAAAACTCTTGAAGAAGTCCAAAATTTGGTCATTTTGGGCCGAAAAAATTGATTAGCCTCGAAAACAGCTGATTTTGTAAAATCTGATAAGCGCGCAGTACCCAATGACTCTCTTACTGGTAAACTTAAAATCCATGCCCTATCGAGATACCCTCCGGAGATGCAAAGTGGCACAGACACACACAGACAGATAATATTTTATTATATGTGGTAGGATTTATAATTTAAGGTAATACTGCATCAAATTGCCTACTCCTTGGATGAAGCTGGCCAGGGCCACATACACATTCAGCGGTGCATCTGGGAAGGCTTCTAGCGATTCTTTCGTTTCCGCTATCGCGGCACGGGTCTCGGACGGGGGGCCCTAGGATAGAGAAAAGTATGATTTACTTTAAAGAAATAAGAAATAAATATTCTTTAAAGAAATATATTTCTACTTGTTATAAAATAATTGGTATTGATTGCCTTCGTGCCTTCCTTTTTACACCAGGACCTTATGCTTTTTCCGGATACGTATCAGCCACCCTGTATATTATACTAGCTGGGCTTCGAGCTACCCCCTTGCGCTCCCTCCCCTCGCCGACACTCTCGCGACCTGGCTCACTATGCTCAAAATCGTGCAAACAACCGTTCTAATACCAAATTACAAAAATTATTTTTAAATTTGAAAATGAAGCTTTAGATTCTGTTTGGGGGTTTCTGACCGCGCTCGCTCCGTATCCGAAGAGATCTAAGCTCTAGCTCTTTCCATCTTCGTGTTAAATTCGGCTTCAGGCAGATCTACACCACAGCAAAATAGTGTGATGATTTTTATAGTTGATTGCATTTGGGCTGAATTCAATTACACGGTCACCTATTCAAATCCGACTTTTTATACATAGAAATGTTCAGCTCGACGAGCTGGTTCAGGATCAGTTCAAAAAACAATTGGGAAACACTTCTGGGCCGAGCCGATTTCGAATGAGTGGAGCGGCAGCCCATCCAAGGCGACGGCCCACCTTGTCTGACAATGTCAAAAGCCTCACCGCTCTCTCTCCTACAATATTATTTTTTAAAACGCTAAAAATCAAAAACAATTGTTCTTGAAGAGTACGTACGCATAAGAGTACGCCGCTCCGTACACAAGAGTGTCGCGCAGCTCGAGTTTCCGAAAAAATAGGAGCTTCTTAACTTTCTGGTTGCAATTTTCCCAAGGATTCTTTCAACAGATATCGGCTCTGCTCGACGAGCTGCACATTTCTAGATATGAAATATGCCTGTTTGGATAGGTGACCGTATACATAACTAGCCAAATTTGGATCCCTATATCTCGCTCCAGAACTGTTTCCCAATCGTTTTCTGAACGCATCCTGAAGGAGCTCGTGTGAACGCTATCCAAAAATTCTGGATTCAGTCACTAAGGAGGACTTACACGGCGTTCCGGCGATCCCGAGCGGCGACGAGCCGCGCTCAGTCCCGGCGGAGCGTCCCGGTCGAAGTCCTGTAAATGGATTGGGTTCAGCTTTTCCCTCAGGAATTTTGTACGGCTTTATAACGAAATATAAACCAGATACATAAATATAACTTAAACTATGTAACGAACAAGCCATTTTTCCAAAAAAACTGATAAGAAACTTTCCGATAACGGTCATCTCCCGGGTATTACGCATCTAATAAGTTTTGAAACACACCTACAAACTACTTCCCAATCGAGATATCGTCTGGGCACACAAACACTATTTTTTACACATAGATACTTTTTATCTTCGTTATATTTCTTTAAGAATGTTGAGAAATTGGTCCAAAAACTCTCAATTTCAATTTTTCAAATAATTTTTAGAAATTTTTTGTAACTTTCTAGCAATTAAAAACAGCTAAAAACATATGAAAAATACTCTATGTTCTTCACCCCCCCGTTAAAAGTTGAGCACCCACACATGATCTACGCTGGATTTTGGTGATCTTAATCGTAAATCTGCGCTAGAACGTGCATTACCGGAAGATCATTGCGGCGATTCAGCGGCGGACGGCCGAGATTTTGCGGCGCGGCAGCATTGCGGGGCCGCTATAAATAATAAAATTCTTGGGAACAAGAGGCGGCCGCAGGTTCCGCCAGCTGACTTAAACGGCGACTTTTTAGTGACAATCGAGTTTCCGTACGGGACGAAGATCTTACGCGCAATTCTGCGCTGATCCCGAGCGTGTTTTCAAAATCTGCGAATCGATAGGATTGAAAACGTTATGGAGGTTTTAACAGCGAGAAAGGTTCAAGATGGCCCAATTTTCGGAAATTTTTGCCTTTTCCGGCCTAAAAGGCACCATTGGCTTTTGATCTAAACGTTTGGCAAATTTTGAAACCAGGCTCGGGATCAGCGCGAAATTCTGCAAAAGATAGACTTTGTCCGGAACAGAAATACGATTGTCACTAAAAAAGCCTCCTTGTCAGTTGCAAATATGTAAAAGTTTTCTACCAGCTGCATCTGATGGACGATGCGCGGCTGGGCGGCGGGCACTTGGGCGGGAGCTGGGTTGACCGGGTGCTGGGCGGCGACCAGAGCTGCGGGCACGTCGGCGGGAGCTGGGTTGTCCGGGTGCTGGGCGGCGGCCTGGGCGGCGGGCTGAGCGGCGGGCTGAGCGGCGGCCTGGGCGGCGGGCTGAGCCTGGGCTGAGCGGCTGCCTGGGCGGCGTGCTGAGCGGCAGGCACGGGGGCAGCATCGGCCTGACGGCGG